AATGAATGATAAGCTATGGATCACTAAAATATTCGACACTGGTGAATGTGTGGCTTTGGCTTACATATGAACCTAAAGAATTGAAGGATGATACTCTAGAAAATGCATTCTACTCATATCTACTCATATATTTGTCAAAATTTTTAAAATTTTATAGACATGTCTGCCTTTAATCTGGTTTCTTTCACTTAGCACAATGCCTTTGAAACAATTATGAATGCATTGGTAGTTCATTGATTTTATACATTAATGAGTGGCATTCAAATTTATTAATGCATCTGCCAATATACTTTTGAGTTGATTTTGGAATTGCAAGTACAGATCCCATGAACATTTACACGTAAGTTTCTGCTTCCTTTCCCTGATAGGAGTGGAATGGGTAGACCACATGGCAGATGGCACACATCTCAAGCTACTTTCCAAGGAGGGTGCCCTTTTTTACATTGTCACCACCACTACATGAGCATTTCACCAACATCTTCACCAACATTTAGTATGTGTGGTCTGTTTTAGTTTAGCCTTTGTAGTAAATGTGGTTTTAGTAGGATCGAATGAACAGTTCTATAATCACGAAGGTTGCTGAGAATTTTTTCATTGGCATATTTGCCGTAACTATACCTTCTTTGGCAAAGTGGTTATTCAAAATTTTTCTTGGATTGTTTATTAATTACTGAAATTTTGTGAGTTCTTTATATACACTATGTATATCACAGAACATTGCCTTTATTAGATATATGACATTAAAATATTTTATCTAAGGTGTTCAATTCTCATAGCATAATTTTCTAAAGAGCAGATTTTTTATTTATCATGTCAAACTCATTATATTTCTCCTAGGGATTATGCATATATGAGAAAAAAGTTCTTAACCTGAGGTCACAAAGTTTTTTTTTTTTATGTGATCTTCAAGAAGTTTTATAATTTGATGGGGGAGTCCGGAAGAACATGGCAGATAGATAGCAGCAGCCTCGGAGGCTCTCTGAGAAACCGCACTTGAAATCTAGGAATGGTGCCGGGCAGGAAGTCCTAGGCAAGGGGGGATATTCTTTGCCGACCCAGGAACAAACTAAATTAAGAGAAACCAACTGGAAACGCAATTCCGGTGATACAGCAGGCACAGATAAGGTCTCAGCACAGAAGCTGGACCCCGCGCTACTGGAAACTGCAATTTGAATTATCTGCAGCCACTGTTGTGTCCTGGTCGGCACGGCGGGGAGAGAGGCATGAAAGCTTGGAGAGTGGGAAGCATTGGAAGGAGTTGGGAGCGGGACTGGCTGGGTGCCCTGTATCGACCTGCAGTGAGTGAGCAAATCGGGACCCTTCCATAGAGAAGGAGGCTTCAGCAGAGGACATACTCAGACCGGGCAGACTTCCCAGAATGAGATGATGCAGTGACTTCAGTCACATATCCCCCTCTCAAGCAGGATTGGTGGGGAGTGCCTGGCCTGCAGGACGCCGCTAGCTGAGACCCAATAGGCTAGCCCAAACCAAGTCCCAGCGCCTGGAGGTGCACCCTAGTGGTGAAGCCTTTGGTAGGTTGACCTGGAGGGGCAGGCCCGGCATAGACTGCCCAGGTCTGTGTCTTCCTGGTGCATTGTGGTGGGCGGGAACACCTAGCCGGAGCAATTCAAACAGACTGTGGCTGACAGGGAAGGAAGCTGGGCCTCCTATAAACACTTAAATATAAGGAACAAAGAATATGGGAAGAGGAAGCAACAAGAAAGGGTCTTTGGACCCCAATCCTGAGAAACATGCATTAGCAGACATGGCACCAATTGACATAAAGCGCTATCTCCAGAGCCTCATAGACGAGTTCAGGAATGAAGTTATTAATGACCTGAAACAAGACATAAGCAGAATAGTTAGAGAAATGCTAAGCACCACCCAAGAAAAAACAGATGGTGGAATGGAAAAACAGAAAAAAAGGGGAGAATTGTTTGATGGAGAAGATAGAGAAAACATAGAATACGTAAAGCAGGTTCAAAGAGATTACCAGGAAACTAAAAACTATCGAAAACTGGCATAACAGCTTGAAAGAAACTAAGGCAGATTATCTGAACTGGAGGGCAGATTTGTAATATGGGAGCATGAAATGAAAAACTTCTTAAAAATAACAAAAAAACAAACAGCAACAATACAAAAACTAGAAGATGATACGAGGATCTATAACTTAAGAATTAAGAACATAAGAGAAGTGAGGACACAAACAAATGGACTACAAAAGTTACTCACAGAAATAATCCAAGAGAATTTCCCTAATTTAGCAAATGGTAAAGATACTCAGATATATACAGGACTTTAGCCACCTACAACCCAAACAGAGCTACACCCAGGCATATAATAATCAAAATTCCAGAAATCCAATATAAGAACAGAATATTAAAAGCCGTCAGAGACAACAAACAGATCACTTACAAGGGAATGCCCATCAGAATTACAGCAGACTTCTTGGCACAAACCATCAAATCACGAAGAGCGTGGGGGAAATAATTCAAGCTTTGAAAGATAATAACCTCCAGCCAAGATTGATATATTCTGCACAACTGTCCCTAGAAATTGATGGAAAAACAAGGTGCTTCCAGGATAAAGAGGAACTAGAGGAATTTGCAATCACTAATTCAGCTCTACAGAGAATACTGCAGGATAGCCTAAAAAAGGAAAATACCAAGATTCCAGAAATAGTGGCAGAGAGGCCACAATGAATGGAGCAGAAAACAAAATGAAGAAGACGAACTGACAACAAATGACAGAAAAAGAACTCAACAGAAATGAGGCAGAGAAGATCGGATGGTAGGAACAGCTATTTTGGAGAAAACAAGACATCATAATAGCTAATGCTGATTTAGTATCATCTGGTTTTGAAGCCCCATCAAACTGCTATTCTTCTGTCTCCATTGGTCTTAAAAGGTTGTATCTTATTGGATTTTATTATATATGATAATATAAGCAAAAACTTTTATAGACAAGGAGTTTATATAAAAATCATTGTTCATTTTCTGTTAATTGGTTCTAAATACCCTGTAATAATGTCATTCTCTTGAATGGTTTTATAGTGTCTTGATATGTTTGGTGCTACAGTATAAGAAGTTATACTCAAAGATTTTAAGGAAAGAGACACTGTGGTAACTATTTTTATGTCAGGATATCTTGTGGTGAAACACTATTTTGCTTAAATGGTTATGTTTTCACCTGCACTGTTCTGTTGTTATGCCCTCATTTATGTCAATCCCCTTTTATTAATTATTTACCATTTTATTTTTATTTTTTTAATTCAGGGAAAAATAAATAAAAAATAGCAGGATACATTATAGTAATCTACTTTGATTTCCTATTAACTTGATTTGAAATCCTGTATTGCCCTCACCATCTTGTTTTGACTGATTTTCCTCTATTCTGCTTTGCTTGATAGTACCAAGTTCGAAAGTATAGGCATAACTGTGAAGACAATAAGAATCATTATGACACCCATTCCAGTTGACTATTATTTTCTTTTAAAATCCTGTAATGTCTCCAATGCTTTGGTTTTATTCTTTGATGTTTAGTTCAATTTTATTATAACTGCCAATTCTTCTTAAAATAGCAAGAGGCAGTATGGTACCATTGTTGATCAACTTATATTTTGTTTTTACATTATCTATTATGTCCATCCTTTTGATTTGACTGACTCTGTGCTGATATGTCGCATTTGGTTTTACTCTCTTCAAAAAAAGTAATAAGAACTGTGGGACTAATAAAACCCAAAATATGTAATTGTCATTGTACAAAAGAAAAGAAAAGAAAGTGCTCTAAAGGTTATAACTGCATATATGTTTAAGTGTATAAGATAAATAACCATATTACTGAGTGTTTTTTGTATCATTGAACAAAACTGTTTGCATTCTCACTGTTTGAAGGTCCACTTTATATGCTTCAATTTTGTAACTTGAGCAACTATTTCTAAGATGAGAATATATAATCTATTAACTAGTGATTTCTTACTGTTTATTTTTTAAATTTTGTATTACTTGTACCCTTTTTCTGTTTTTTCCTTAAATTAAAAAAAAGAAGTTTTATAATTTAAAGTTTTAAATTTGTCTGTCATCCATACTGAGTTAATTATATAAGCAGTGTAAGGTAGGAATTCACCTATTTTTGCATCCAGTTGCACGAGGATATCCAGTTGTTCAGCATGAATTACTGAAAAACTTTTCACCATTACACTGCCTTTGCACCTAGGGTGAAAACTTAGCTGTTGATCTGTGCATCTGTCTATTACCACTCCCTGCTGGGTTCAATCCTGTTGGCCTGTCTTCCTGATGCCAGGGTCACACTGTCTTCATTACTAGTTCAGGGCCATTCTTCTGCAGGCTCCCTGGAGAATACTTTCTGTCTTTTCCAGCTTCTGGTGATTGCTGCTACCATTTGGCTTATGGTTGCACTGTTCTAGGCTTTGAGAACAACGTCTTCAAATTCTCCTCTGTGACTGGGTACATGATATTTTTCCATCTCAAGGCTCTTAAATTACATCTGGAAGGACTTTTTCCTGGCATCTAAGCTAAGCACTGCATGGTCTAGGGATTAGAAGTCTCTTGGGTGAGTACAACCTTCCCATAAGCCCTCAAATTTATGTCTGTCCACATGCAATCTACATTTCCCCATCCTAACATTCCCCCAAAGTCTCAGCTCATTACATTTGACTCAAGTCCAAAGTCTCTAAATATTACCACCTCAGAAGTCCCAAATTTTAACATGAAAATCACTAAACAAAGTATGCACAGGACTCTGGGTATGGTGCAACTTGGGGAAATGAATCTGTGAAGCTCGAAACAAATGATCTACTTTTAAAATAAAGCAGAGACCAGGCATAAATTAACAGTGATAGAGTTTCCTTTTTAGTAGGGAGAAATAAGCAGAGTGTGGGGACCATGTTTCTATACTCTTTCTACCGGTGAAGTTGAGGCAGGACAATCATTTGCACTCATGCGTTTAAGTCCGGCCTGGACAATGTAGTGCGAGCCCACCTGAAGTAGAGCAGCGATGAAACCCGGGAACAATCCTTGGTGTTCCAGGCTTCACTCTGCATCCATGGCTGTGGCTTCTCTCCAAGTGTAGACTGTGCCCAAGGGGGGCAGGTGATTGGCCTTTCTCCTTCCATGGAGTTTTGGGAGCCTGACAGCCTTTCTGCATTTTCTCCTGCCTCTGTTCTTCTCAGGCCAAACTGGCAACCTGGCTGCTACAATGCTGTTTTGAAGATTCAGAGCAACTGTGTATTTGCTCTGTGCCATGGATTCATACTGAGAAATGAGAGGACTACCCACAGGGTTTTTCTGGATCACCCCAGTTTTCTTCCTGGCTTCTGATGAGATCTTTAAAGGGATGCATGAGTCACAGTCTTAATCTTATTAGCACCTTATTAGCATGAGAGGTTTATTCAGCCAGACTCTTGGTCTTTTCTTCAGAAAATGTTTTCCTAACAATGAAAAACCCAATTTTAGCATCCTTTTCAATCTCAAAAAGCTAAGAATTCTCAAATCATGAAGGCCTGGTTTCTTTTCATCCAATAGTTCTTTTATCTTCTTTATCTTGCATTTTATTATTTTAAAAAACAAGAAGAAAATAGGTTACATATTCAATACTTAATTTGGAAGTATCCTTAGCTGAGTGTCCAGTTCATTGCTTACAAATTCTGCTTTCTACATGTGTTAATTCAATTAATTTTTACCATTATATATCAAAGATTGCCTTTCCTCTAGTTTCCAACAACATTTCTCATTTTCTTTCACACTTGATACTAAAAATCAGAAAAAAGACAAGGAAATTACAAACCAGTGTCCTTCATTGTTACCCTGTCCTAATCTGGTAGGGCCTGCTTGATCTCACTGAGCTCTGTCCACACTTAAAGCTTGTTTATCTTTGAGGTGAGGACCGAGTGCCCTCTTCCAGTGGGCCAGCTCAAACTGGTTGGACCCGAGATGGCAGCCAGAGACATGATTAGCCCTCCTCGTTATTAGCTTACCCCTCTGTGTCCTTTCTTTCGTCTGTATGGGTAGAGGTGATTTATGAGTCTGATCCCTTCTCCTCTTAGTCTTGGGGGAGAGCAAAGCTCTCCTTTACTGCTAAGGCCAAGCTTGATCTGGTTGTTGGTTTCACTGAGAGGGCAAAGGGACTGACTCTAGGGCCAGCAACTGGGAAAGTCATGAGCACATTGAATGTAGCTATCTAAAAAAGAACAGTGCCACATAGCCAAGTGGAATTAGCTGCAGGAATGCAAGTTTTGCTCAACATTCTAAAGAGAGACTCGTAATTCACCGTAGAAATAGACCAAAGATGGAAGGCCACATGAGCCTCTCAGTAGATGCAGAAAAAGAATTTGATGCTTTCATTTTAATCAGATGTTGAAAAACAGGTCAATGGACTTCTCAGAACAGAAGCATCCTGTAACTGGGCCAATGCTTTGGGGCTACCTGTGAATTCTAAGGGATAAAGGCACAGGTACACAGACGTGGAGAGTGAACATTGTAAAGCAGGCTCCAGGAGTCCTCTGCTCTGGATGGGGTTGGGGGAGGAGGAAGGCAGACACCATATCAACGAGACCTTCTGCCTTTGTCACCAACATGTCACGAATTTGAATCTTAGAAGAAATGAATGAGAGGACAGGGGGCGGCTCAGGGGCCACCCAATGTCTTTTGATGTCTTGGTGAGATCCCTGAGTCTCATCTTGTACTCAGCAAAAGTCTTTCTAGGGTACTGATGAGGGCCAAGCATTTCCCTTTATGAACTTCTTTCTTTCACTGTGTTTGTTTCCAGTGTAATCTCAGAAACATGTACCCCAACTTTCAACTTTGCGACCAAGCAGCAGAGATGTGTGGTGGATTTGCTCTGACAGTGGAAGAACCAGAGACTAAACCTTCATGGTGCATACCTGTGACCCCACTACTCTTGGAGCCTGAGGCAGGAAGATCACAAGTTGCAGCGCACCCTGGGCAACTTAGAAATTTTGTGAGATCTGGCCTCAAACCAAAAAGTGCTGGAGATATAGCTCAGTGTAAAGGTCCAGGGCTCAATTTTTAGTACCACAAAAAACCAAAAACAATCATAACCTAATTATAGTCCTGCTTCCTGCTATTTGATCATCGTTTACAAGGAAATTCAAATTCCTTACCATGGCCTTCGAGGTCCTGTAACTTGGGCACTTTCTCCTGTCTCTCAGGAGAAAATGCTCTCCAACTTCAGGTTCAAATTGTTTCTCGGGGGGCTGGGGATTTAGCTCAGCAGCATAAGTACCTGCCTTGCTAGCAGGCGGTCGTGAGTTCGATCCCCGGTACTGATAAAAATGAAAAAGACAAAAAAAAAAAAAAATTGTTTCTCGGAATCATTAGCCCTTACTTCATACACCTACGTGTCATCACACTGACTCGAGGTGTCCTTCTCCTCACTTACCTCTGGTTGTGAACTACTTATTACTCAGGTCTCAATTTAAATGTCTTCCTCAATCCCCCAGCTGGAACATGCCTCCCCTGTCTGGTCATCCCGTGGCACTTCCTCTCGGCAAACCGTAGCGTTTCTTCCCTGCACTTGGCATGACTGTCTGGTTTAGATCGGTTTGTGATTTTCTACTTAATGGTTCTCTCTCACTAGATTATCCATGCAGGCAGTGTTTACTTTATACGTCATTCACTCTCAGTTGCACAAACAGCTCCTACACAAGTATTTAACACACACTCACCAGAAATGTCGAGTGGACTGTTACTCTCAGACTCTGATCCAAAGTGAACGCCTTGGCTTTATATCCCCTATGAATGTCCCTGTAATCATCTTTTAACATCATAGCTTCCCTATTAAATTACACTACTACAATGCTCATAAATCCATTGTAACCTTCAGGAATAAGAAAGGGCTTTTGCCAGGGATGTTAGCTGGAGTGTTAGAAACTCGAACAGCTTTACTATCTCACCCGGTATTATCACTGTGAATTTCAACCACATACAATCAGATTTAGAATAAAAATAGTTTTGTAGGGACTTCTAAGAAATTCTTATACTTTTTGTATCTTTCCCAGACATTTCCTCTCAGAAAGCTCAGGTAGTAGGACACAGTTAATAATTTGATTTTTTTATGCTCTATTTTTGTGCATTTGGCTCAGTGCTAACAATTGGAAAGAAGTTGGTGATGCAGATTCTCTCTCTAGCTGCACAAGGCATCTTTGGTGTTTTTGCTTACTGGGTGTCTCCTAGTGCTTTGCTATCTGAAATAACCTCTCGAGCTGGGTGAAAGCTGGAAACGCTAGCCTCTTCCTGCACTGGGAGCTCAGCCACGCATCTGTACCATTCATTTCTCAGTTGCTAGACAACTGCTGTGTCTACCTTCAGGGTAACAATGATAGGAGAGTTAATAATGTTGACATGCTGCTCTTAGCCTAATGGCTCATTTGATTAATTGGTTGCCAGGCACCCCCAATACTATTCTGGCGTCTTAAGACCTCCATAGTGGGGACAGTAGTACCAAATGGACTCAGAATCCAAGAGCTGAATGGGACTATATTTGAGATCAGCCCAAATTATGACAGCTTTCCAATTTCAACATGAAGACACACAATTTGATACGTGCTCAGAATTAGAACCTAGAATGGTTCCAGGGTTAGCACCATATCATCATCACTAAACATGCAGGAGAGTCTTCTCTCCAAAGAAGCTGATGACATAGTGCTTATTGCTCCCAGACTCCAAGGCACCCCCTGGATCAATAAAGAGTGAGGAGCAAGGGATTCAGCCTCCTTGTGAATCAGAAGAGGTTGTTGGTATGAGAACACAGCTGGGAAAAAAGGGTGAGAAGCTTTTAGGGCCCCAGGACTGGTGCAACAGGGAACATTAGCAGCCGTAAGAGTGGGGCCAGTAAGTTTCACCCCGGGCAGTCTGGCCTGCCTGCCTCTGTGTCACCAGTCTTCTCCTGTGTCTTGGGGCCTGCCTCGCACTAGGAGGGAGTCACTGCCTATTCCGATTTCTCTGCCTCTATGAGTACTGTCTGCTATGGGCTCCTGCTCCTACCTTCTTGGAGGAATCTATTTTGGCCCAGGGACTTCTGTATGGAAAAGCTTTGGGGTTGTATCCCCACCCTGGAGTAGCTCTTGGCTACTGACTGGCTGGGAGATGATAAACCATGGAGCTGCCAACACTGGAAGAAAAGGCTAGGCAGGAGGATAAGGAAATAGCAACTTGGCTATCTCTGCCCGAGAGAGCACTCTTTTTTTAATTTAATTTCATTTTATTTTATTTATTCTTTGGTTTCCTGAGACAGAGTCTTACTGTGTAACCCAGGCTGATCTTGAACTCAGCAATCCTGCCTCGGCTTCCGGAGTGCTGGGATTACAGGTATGTGCCACCATGCATGGTTGGGAACACCCTTTATAACTCAACTGGATGGCCAACTTGATTAAAAACTAAGTTCTGGTTCTTCAAATCCCTGTGAATTAATGTCACCCTCATTTAGAGATGACATTCCTGGTGCTAAGAGGTTAGGCTAAGTCATCTTCCTGGGAGAGAAGCTCAAATTCAAACCCATTCCGACTTCCTCCAGATCTGCCCCTTGCTTCCATTGCAAACCCACGCAAGCTTAGTGCTTAGCAGGTGGCTAGAAGGGTGCAGTCCTCTGCAGAGGCTGAGAGAACCCAATAATCAGAGCACCCACACAGGAATAAGTCAATCACGCTTCACACCTGAGAGACCTGCTACCCAGTGCCCTGCCACTCAGTCTTCAAGATAGTGCTTCTCCGCCTCGGGGGCTGGGAGAATGTCACAGGCTCTGTCCGGGTTAGTCCCTTGGGGGCTCTCAGAACTGGAGCTCAGCATCGTGACGTCTAAACCCCCAGGTGATGCAGGGAAAACTGTGTGGGAATAGTTATGTGAAGTTGGTTCCTCAACGAATGTCAGTGAGCCCGGAATGCCTGGGAGGGAAGAAGAGATTTCGGAAGTCACAGTTCCATGGATCTGGGAACACATATGCTTCTCTGAAGTCCCCAGGTATGCTGATCTGTTTATCTGTTTTCTAAGGGACTTCACTTTGAGAACCATTGACCTGGAATGATTTGTGGATGACACTATGACTGTTTGCATTCCATGCACGCATACAACGAGCTCACAATGACCTGGTGGACTCACGCGGACTTGACCCACACCGTCACGTGCACACTGCTTCTTTCCTCTCACATACAAGTTGGTCATGTCTGGCTTTGCCAACTGCTTCACTGAAAAGCAGTGGCAGGCGGTTTCCAGCAGGGTGCGAAAGTCTGCCTGGTGGGCTGAGGAAAGTCAGTTCCAGATCCTTGCCTGCTGGCAAGAAAGAAACATAAGCAATTACTGAGCTAATTTCATTTCATTAATCAAGATAGTACTAATTGCTCCGATCTTCTTATCGAAGGACCAGAAACCCATACAAAGACATTGCAACCAAGACACTGGGAAATGCGTCCTCTGGGCCTGTACTCAAAGACCTGCTCTGCAGAAACAGGAAATGGCCATGTGTTACCAGCCGCCCCCAAGTGGCACAATTCCCGTTCCAGGAGGACTGGCAGGAGGGCTTTGGCCCGTGTAGAATTCAGGAATGGTCTGCAGTCCTTGGTGCAAGTGAGAAGTTAAGGCCAAAGGACACTGTAAGTTAAAACAGTTTTTTATTTGTCAGTCTAAAAATTAAATGTTTAAAAAAGAAGTTAAACAGCACCATTAGCAAAATTATTACTGGTTCAATTTCTCCAGATTCTTTTTTATTATTATAGTAGTGAATTTCAAGGCCTCAGGCACCCCAGGGATTACGCTTTCAAGTTTAATCAATTTTTAATTTAACTTCCAAGGTAGGTCAGAACCTTGCAGATGCTCGGAGGCAGCAGCCTTCAGTGTATGCACTTCTCTCCCACACCCTCACCGTGCGCGGCCCCTCACAGAGGCACAGTGAGGCCAAGGCAGACACAGCAAGGCCAGTTCCTGACCGCCAACTTCCACCATCTCCCTGCTCCCAGGATGTGTTTCCGAGAGCAAAGCAGCCAGCAAGCTGAGAGCAGACTCAGGACACCGTCAGGGCCAGAGTCTCTGGAATGAGGACCAGAGGCACAGCCTGAGTGAGGGGAAGGGTGGAGAAAGAGCCGCCACCTCTGGTGCAGGGAGAAGATCTGCATAGAGATGTTAGATCCACCTGCCACAACCCCGTGGGGGCAGCTGGAGCATGGGCCACCTCGCATACGCTGCTTCCTTGAGGCGAGGGCTGCCGCCTTCCATCTGCTGCATCAGCTAGGGCTTAGAGGGATGTGACTGGAAGGGCCTGGCACCACAGACGTTGCCCGAGTGGCGTCTAGCATACCAAGAGCCATTTCCAACACGCAGAGCGGCTAGGTTGTGCCAGCTAATCCAGAGGACCCAGTCCCCACAGATCCTCTGCAGGATGTTTGCCAGAGCCAAGCGCCTGATCCTGTGTGGGCAGCCAGTGACTAAGCAGGCCAATGTCCTCTGTAGCCTCCTGTTGCAGGGTTTCTGGACCCCAGGGCCTCTCCCTTTCTCTGTATTCCGGCCTCTGCTGAGTCTTGGGAATGTTGTCCATGCTTTTTGTCAAGTGTCTGAAAAAGATGCTCATCAAGACCAGGGCTGCTTGAGACCTGGGGTCCAATTAACTCACTCATGTGTCCTGTGAGCTGGTTACTGGTCTGACGCCAGCTTTCCTGCACCTCTTTTTCATTAATACCTCTCATCCAGGCCCATCTGGGTGATTTTCAAAGATAACAACCATCAAGTCCTTAAAATGCTGACTTCTTAACATAACTGCAACTATTGCAGAACTGAAACAGGACAGATGGTTTGCTCCAAATACAGGAAGATGCACAGAAGGTTCAGTTATTCTTGAACTCTTTCATCCAAAGAAAGACCCACTTTGGGACTCCGCAGTGAAAACCACCATTCTGCACAAAATCAAGAGAAGGGACATGGGACATCCTTTGAGGCACAGAGGTAGTATTTTGGATAGTGAAGGTGATTTTGTTACAAGGAATAAAAATGAAATATCATGAGAATTTCACAATGCTGGGACTAAGGAGACATCACCCTGGCTTTATTATGACATGCAAAATTGGATTTTTCAAAACATTATCCAGTAGTTAAACCAAAACTCTTTCCTTTCCATTTATACCTAAGTAAAGTTAGTGTAATAATATAATATTCATGAGCAAAAAAATAGCTTGCATGAAATGATGGTGCTGTAATTTTAGATGGAGCAAGGACTGGATTGAGATGGTGGATTGAACATGTGATTTCACTCAAAATCCCTAAGAGTTGCACAAAAATAATAAAGTCGAGTTACTGGCTTTGAGTGAAAACAGCTCCATCTGTACAATGTTTTTAGAAAGCTATGTGATGCTGGCTGGGCTTCTCCTAGCCTGCTGACTTGCCACTGACGGGCCATGGTGACCATCTTCTTAAGATGCACCACTGATGCAGGCCTGGTGACACAGCACAGTTGGGCACTGTATGCACAGCCCTGGGCTTCACCCAAAGGTGGCTTCATTGGAACCAAAAGAGGCCTCATGCTCCTGTCCTTACCAGGCCCACTCAACGGCAAGGTCATTGCACCAGAAGGAAGTTCTTCTCAGCACCAGGGCTCCTTTGGTCTCCACTCCCACTCACCTCCTGGGACCCCAGAGGTACAAACTGGAGCCAGACAGATAGAGAAAGAGAGACACAGAGAGATACATACAGAGAGACAGAAAGAAAGACAGACAGAGAAACAGAGAGCAATGAGAGAGACAGAGACAGAGAGAGGGAGAGACTGAATGGGGCCAAGCCTGGAAGGTGATTGTTAGAGTCTGTGCCATCAGAGTCCTGAGACTCTGACTCTAGGCTGGTCCTGACAGGACAGCACATGTTTCTCTCACATCCCTGTCCTCACAATGGCCAGGGTATCTATCCAGGCCCTGGTGTGCCATGTAATTGCAGATTCAGGCCCATGGCTGCAGAATTAGTGTGGGACTCCGTGGTCCTGGCAACCCGTGTAGTGTGATGGCATGGCAAGGTGTGTGTAGAAGTCCATCTCCAAGAGTTGCCAAAGTACTAACAGTTTCAGTATTACTGAAAAGTTCAAATCTCAAGTCTCCTCCAAGATGTAAAGCAAATTCTTAGTTGTAAGCCCCTGTACAGATGAAAAATTAAATGCTTCCAACATTCAATGCCACAAGATAGACATTACCATTCCAAAAGGTACAAACAGGAGGGTACAAAGGATTGGGACTGAAGCAAGTCTAACATTCAGCAGGGCAAATGTTTAGTCCTAAGTTTCATGTGGAACAATCAAAGCAATTTGTGATTATCTGTGAACTCTAAAGGATTGCATAGCTCTGCCCTATAGCACTCCAGTGGTTATAGCTCCAGGGCTTCTCTCTTATATCTCTTCTGCTCAATCCTTGCAGTTTTCCTCAGATGATTCATGTTCTTGGCTTTTCTTAACTTCTGGGATCTCCACTGTGCCTTTGGCTTCACCCTCACAACTTCACACGCTGCCCTCTCAGAGGCACCCAGAGAACTGGGTAGAAGCCGTTTTAACCTCAGAACTCTTGTGTTCTGCATGGGCCTATAACCAGCACCATGGGGATGATGCTAAGCTCTGTTGCCAGCTGGCCAGGCTTCCCTCTCTCTCTTGGCTGTAAGAGTCTGTTGGGAGCCGCCGACACCGGTCGCCTTACTTGGCGGACGTAGGGCCTGTGGGTGGGAGCGGAGCCTGAGCTAGATTGCCCCTCCCATCGAGTGAGTCAAGTTGGCGCCTGCTTCCTGCCCCCTGATTGCGCTGGCGACTTAAACAACCCGCTCTGTAAGATAGTCTGCCTAGCAACAACTGATGTTAGCCAATCAGCCCGCATCGCGCGCTTTAAACTGATTGGCCACTGTCACCCTATAAAAGTGAATGCCTCTCCTGCCACGAGACAGGAAGCACAGAGGAAGCACAAAGAGGGATAGAGAAAGTCCACCGGCGAGAAAGGGCTGGTGGCAGAGAGGAGGCCTCGCGGGGCCCACGAGGAGACAAATAAAGGCAAGGTTGCACACCGCCAGACTTTGTCGTGTGTCTTTCCTGCCGGCCGGGAGCGACCCCGACATTTGGTGACCCGCACGGGGACTGATCAACCCCGAGACACGGCGGTGGTGTGCAACGCTCCAGCGTGGTGCTGCCGGACAGGTGAGTTGGGGATAAGCCTGGGCTCTGGGTGGCGCGCACCTACAGGGCTTTTAGACTCCCCTCAGGCTCACGCGTAGGTGACGGGTTCTTTAAGTCACACGCGGTGAGTAACAGCCCTTAGAGGTTGAGAATGGGTAATTTACCGAGCGCGGAGGCGCGGCCCTTGGTAAAGGCCCTTAGGAAGCTTTTAAAAGCTAGAGACCTCAGGGTAGGTCAAAAAACACTAGAACTATTCATAGCAGAGATAGATAGGGTGGCTCCCTGGTTTTTACCCACAGGGCATTTAAACCTGCCGTCATGGGAGAAGTTAGGCGGGGACCTCGCCTCGGCGGAATTGGGAGGCGATATTTCGCCGGCTATTCGCCCCCTGTGGGAAATGATACATGCGTGCCTTGACTCCTATGCCGAGTTGCGCCGTGAATTGTGTGCGTGCGCCGCTCGAAAAAAGCAGAGAGAGGAGAAAGGGCCCCCGAGTGCTCTCTGGCAGGGAGGAGATAGAGAGCCATCCGCTCCGCCCTGGAGCTCTTCTCCAGAAGCGGCTCCCCGCCGAGAGGCCGCTACAGGGAACCCTCCCTTCTCTCAGCCGGCACAGGAAGTGACGCCCCGTTCCACTCTCTCGCGACCGCCGTCCTATGACGTTGCGCTGCGGGGTGGACGGTATTTTCATGGGCGGCTACTCTGCCGAGCAGGCTGAGAAAAACGCCGGTTGAGGAAACGGGGGCTGGGGATTTAGCTCAGTGGCATAAGCGCCTGCCTTGTAAGCAGGCAATCGCGAGTTCGATCCCTGGCACCAATATAAAAAAAAAAAAAAAAACGAAAAAGACCAAAAATAAAAAAAAATAAAAAATAAAAAATAAAAAACAAAAAGGGGGAGTAAGCCAAGGCCTGCCTCCAAAGGCGCGGTTATCTATGGCATGACAATGGATGGGCCCGGATCCGGTGGTTAGCTGGAACCGAGGCGCGGTTTGTGTTTTTCTGCAGGAATCGGGACGAAAACCACTGTGGGTCCCAGAGAGGTTGACGCGACAAGTCCCTCGACTGAAGATCAGGCCTGTTCCACCAGAGGCCAACCGCAGACCCAACAACAAGATGAGCCCTAAAAGAACTGCAGGACAATCCCTTTTTGGGGAGCCTGGAATGGCTTTCTCCCCTATGTTTTACCATTGTTAGGTCCCCTGTGCTCCTTGCCTCTGCTCTTACTTGTAGGACCATTCTTGCTCCGATGGGTTACATCATTTATTAATGGGCGCCTTGCGGCGGCCTGGCGTCAAGTACGCCTGGTTGCCCATGCGGCCCTGGCAGCAGCCCGTGATGGGCACAATGACCCCCAGGCCTACGCATGGCTCGCTCTGGCCTACGACCGGGTCTAGGTGTGGCGGGTCTTCCGCACTCCTTCCCTATTGACACTACACAGCAGGGTAGGTGAGTCAATGACGGGTAAGAGCGTGCCTCCCCAGCACGACTCGACCTAAGCCAGGCCCTACCCCATGGCGCACGAAAGCCGCTGGATTACTAGAATCTGACCAGATCTAGATGCCTCTCCGAGGGGATCACACGGAGGGGCATGAGTGCATGCCTATGTGCATCCAGGTTCCGTCCAGTTCACTCCTGGCCCTGGAAAAAGGACGAGGGTCTCAAGGCCTTGGCAGACCCGGGGGCGGCCGACCAGGGTCCAAGCCAAGGGCCTACGGTGGGCCTCAACACAGGGCATAAGCCTCTGCACTCGATCCAGGGCGGGCTGCGATGCATACATTCATTCAAAGTAAATAAAATAGGGGGAGATGTTGGGAGCCGCCGACACCGGTCGCCTTACTTGGCGGACGTAGGGCCTGTGGGTGGGAGCGGAGCCTGAGCTAGATTGCCCCTCCCATCGAGTGAGTCAAGTTGGCGCCTGCTTCCTGCCCCCTGATTGCGCTGGCGACTTAAACAACCCGCTCTGTAAGATAGTCTGCCTAGCAACAACTGATGTTAGCCAATCAGCCCGCATCGCGCGCTTTAAACTGATTGGCCACTGTCACCCTATAAAAGTGAATGCCTCTCCCGCCACGAGACAGGAAGCACAGAGGAAGCACAAAGAGGGATAGAGAAAGTCCACCGGCGAGAAAGGGCTGGTGGCAGAGAGGAGGCCTCGCGGGGCCCACGCGGAGATAAATAAAGGCAAGGTTGCACACCGCCAGACTTTGTCGTGTGTCTTTCCTGCCGGCCGGGAGCGACCCCGACAAGAGTCAAGTGCCTGGATCACTGGGCATTCTAAACCTGATTCTGAGAAAAAAAAAAAAAACTCTTTGCACTGCTATTCTGAAACCTGGTGTGGATGCCATCATTCCAAAACACGGTGCTCTGTGTCTTTCTCCTCAAAGCAAAGCCTTCCACTTTTGCAGTTTTGAGCCTGCAAAGGGTGAAGACTTGCTCCTTATTATGATGCCCTCAGGCCATCTTTTCTATACTTTTGTTCCTTTACAGCAATTAAGATCTCCTCTGCTCTTTTTTGTCCATAGCTTTACTGGAGCTTTCTTCCTGGCCAAACTTACAATATTTTAAATCCTTTTGTTCAGCTCTTTGCTCTTGATTCTCAACATAAATCTGGCTAAAAGCCCCCAACAGTAGCCATGCCACCACAACATTCAACTGCCTTGAAATTTCTTCTGCCAGATTAGTCTACTACCCTTAGTCTCGGGGTTGAGCAAAGTCTCTAGACATGAGCAAAATGTAGACAAACTTTTTGCCAAGCCATAGTGTACTTCATCTGGACTCCAACAACCACTGCAGTCCTTCTTCCCAGCAGAAACCCCCCGAGCCCGGAATTTACTGGCAGAATTTCTATCAGCCTTCTGGTCTTTTGGGCTCTGACCAGAATCTTCCATACAGAGAAGCCTAAGGCATTCCAGTTCACCTGGCCCCCTTCTTGCTCTGGAAGGACTTGCCTGTCCCTCCCTCCTGGCCAACACTCTCAAAGCAGAGCAGACAGGTATCATAGAGATATCACCTCCATCCAGATGCCCTGGAAGGGTGGGAAGAGAAGATTCTCCATCAGCAGTGCCAGCTCTGAAGATGATGCAGAGACACCTTCCCCTCTGAGTCTTCACTCATCCCACCCCAGGGTGCCCACCTGCTGCTCCCTCTGTCTCGTCCCCTCCACCTGGTCCTTCTTCCTTCTCTGCATCTTGTTTGCACAGCTCTTGGAGTACAGTCTCTATCCTGCTAGCCTAGACTACAGAGCCTTCCTTTTCATCCCAAGGAAATTATCTTGGCATTTCCTAAAGAGAGATAAATTCCCTTAACTTAGCAGGAGGCTGCCAGCACCTGTGCCCACAGGCTGCCTTCCTCAGGCTAGTGTTGCCAGGAGCAGAGCTGGACCAGGACTCTCGAGCCAAGCTCACACCTGTCCCCTCAAGGAGCTGGGAGGGCCTGTGCCGCTGTAGCTTGGGTCCCACTTTGAGGCAAAGTGACATCCACTGAGTCCCTGTGCCAGACCCAGGCAGCATTGTCATCTTCTTGTGGCTGAGGGTACCACTTGGAGAAGGACAGCTGTGAGCCAGTAGCAAACCACTGGGCCCTGGGAAGCAGGGCCCCTGTCCAGCGATTGCTGGGTGATTACCAGACTGCGATGGTGCTGGCAGGGAGTTGGTCTTGGTACTTCCTGTGTGCATGTTTGGAATCAAGGATCTCCACACTTGCAAGTCTTGTGATGACTGCAAGGTTTATTTTACCTCCCTCCCAAAGAAGAGAAACCCAGCTACATTTCTCCGGTACCAACTTCTGTGATCATCATTTGACACAGGCTAAAACCCCACCCTGGAGCCTCTGTCTCGACTGAGCGCTGCCAGTGCTGGCTGCTGCCCGTGGTCTGTTTGTCGTCTTGTTCTGTTCTCACGCACATGGGAGACCCTGTTCGTTCACAGCACCTGGTATGGAGCAGAGGAAAGAAGCAGAGCCAGCACTTCTCAGGAAGCCAAGGACTCAGATACAGAAACCTGAGGGCAGGGGAGATTGAGAAAGGGAAGGAATGGAAGGAAGGAAAAAGGAGGGCGGACGGGCAGGCAAGTTTAAACAAATTTCATTTGTAAACTGTGACCGAAATGACAGATGGAACAATTTAAGGAATTTTATTATCACAATGATTATGTAACTTATCAAAGTAATATAGCTAATGCCTGATACAATTAGGTAAGAGGAAAAAATCGTGTACAAAGAGTAAAAATACTCAAAGGACCTGAGGCAAAGTACTCCTGCGGGACAGAGGCCATGGTGGCAGCACCCAGGAGCTTAACAGCTGCAGAGTTCCACCGAGCATCTAAGCCATTGTACCTCCCTCGGAAGTCACTTTCCTGACCTACGTTTCCCTCAGCTTACTGAGGCACCTCTTGAGACTCACAAAAGGCATGAGGGGCATCTCAGAGGAGGTCTGCAGGCCTTGGTGCCCTGTGCTTTCGCCCTGGGATTTGCCCTGGGAAGGACGCCTGTGAGGAAATTCTGTCAGAACTTTGGAGGGACCATTTTGGTTCAAGGTAAGTCTCATGTGGACAGCGGCTTTGCAGCTGGGGTCTTCAGGATTAAATAGTGAAGAAAGGAAGTTATTAGCAAAAAGCCTCATGGCAGGAATATTAATGGTGAGCTGAAAGGTGGGTCCCTACACCCCGTGGTCAGCTGGGTTACTCTTCCTCCTCCAGCCGATTCTGGCATCGTTTGAGTTAATTCATATATTAGTAAAATACAGCATTGCTGCAGCCCCACTTCTCTGTATGTAGAGCTGAAATGTAATTTTTCTAACTGCTAAAAGACAGATTGTCTTGAACAAGAAGAAGCCCCGTGAGCAGCTCTAGTTGCTGTGATTTGGTGGTAATATTCTCCCCATGTCACAGTTAGCCGATCGCGGCACTCAAATAAGGGTAGCTCTGGATGCAGCTGAGAGAGTTTACTGAAGACAGAAGACTCGCCTGGCAGGCTCCTTACCTGAGATAAAGCGGAGAGGAGAAGAAAGCCTGGCTTCCGCTTCTTCCAGGAGCCCCACCCGGTCCTAACCTTCACCTTGCACGTCGTCTCCTAGCTTCCAGTGCTGACCCTGCAGCCTCCTGCTATGGACTCCGCGGGCACCGCAGGGCGCTCAGGCCTGGGCCTGAACCTTTGCACACGTCCATGCCTGCCTCTCAGGTGGCTGTTGTAAACCAACTTTGTAAATCCTTAATGTCATAAATCTGTTTTTCTAGTGAGCACTGATACATTCCACAATATATTGAATTATAAAAACTTTGAAGGCAATATGTATCTGGGAAGTTTAAAGTCAGAACAAGCAGAAGGAGTGTGGGATGATGAGGAAGAAAAAAATCCTGCAGAGCATTTTCAACTTCCAAAAAATAAAAAATTTGAAGGAGTCAGATTTGCCACAACAGGAAGTTTAGAGCTATTCCAAATTTCCATTAAACGTATTAACTTCTCTGAACAAAGCTGGGAAATGGTAATATTTCCAGAAAATAAAAATGTAAGTATCATTTTTGTCTACTCTGATTTGAGAATTGCATACTAATTATAAACAAAATAGAAAATATAGAAGAAAGATTAAAAGTATCAGCGTTCAAGTCCATATGCCTGGTCCCTCAGTTTGGCTTTGTGAGCCTAGAAAGAGTACTTAAATTTTTAAGGCCACCTTTTTGCATTTTAAAATAGAAGTACTACTAATAATGTAACAATCACTTCCATCAAGGCAAATAAAGCAACCAGAGAAGTATCTAGTGTGTTACCATTTCGTAGGATAATGAAAGGAAGCGCTATGTATCTACTTACTTTTGCAAAAGGACAAACGGAAAGACCAAACCAAAAACTAAGAAAGTATTCTCTTAGTGTGTGCTCATGGCTCAGTGGGAGGACCTCAAGTCAACTCATCTCTAAGCTTTCTAACAGAAAAGCTGGTTTTCTATTACTTCTAACTTGGAATCATCTTTGTTTTTCATATAATGAAAAGTAAAAGTTTAAAATCAACATAGTTGAATAAGGAAATGTAAAATAGAGTACAAACAAAAACAAACACTTCTTACAGTATTTCAGATGAATAACAGCAAATTAAGGGGAAACACAGAACTAGCTTTTCCACATAGTATTTTGACTATGTGCCCACCTGTCAAGGTAAAAAAGAACTGTAAACAGGTATTGAACTTGGGTTAGTAAATAGTTTGTTTCTCTCCCCTAGCAGGATATGTGTTAGCAGTTCTAAAAGTACTATGCATTCTTAGTTTGAGCAAGTAAGCAAACATGTTATAGCTGGAAGCTAACGTGAAATAATTAGTGTTGGGCTGGAATTTAAAGTATCAGCACCAACCCATGGCATCTCATCTGGAGATCATAGGTGCTGACTGGCTGGAGGGACAGAAGTGAGTGAGGTTTACTTGCATGTGCCTGTTTCCCACTGGAGCATGACAGTGTCTCGGCAGGCCCAGGGCCCATCTTTAATGGTGGAAACATAAGTCTTTTGTAGTGGGGAGCACACGAGGTGAATCTTGCTCTCACTGCCTTGTCAGAAAGTAAGAAAGCGTGCATACGTGAGCAGGTGTGATAAAGGACACAAACACTAGCTCAGGAGTGTCAAATACAATTGAATTAAGACACCTTCAACACATCTACAGGGCTATACAAAATCAGAGCTGTAGTGGGGAAGCTTGCTCTTTAGAAAGCTCTGGCTGAACAACACGGAAAAATGAACAGAATTGGGGGAAATCAGCGTGATATGACTGTGGTACAGTAATTTATCTAGGCTTATCAGTGGATACTAACACTGTTAGGAAACAGTGCTTGAAAAACAGGATATTCACACTGTCTCGAATTATCTCCACCTCTGTAGGGAGCCGTTGAAGCTGGAGATTGATCACATGTGTGGGGCTAAAGCAAGGCCAGCCCAGAAAAAACAGAGGGACCAAAACAAGCTATGTAAACAAGTTGTTCCAGCACCAAGAAGGCAGGGGCCCAGGCTGCCATGGGTTGCTAGGCAGAGGGGCTGACATCATCTTTCCCAGTATATAAATAAAGGTGCTACAGTAGTTGAGCAGTTCCTTTCCTCCCATCAGAAGGATGAGGGCTCCACCTGACACCAGCTGTATTTTTCTCAGCCTCTTGCCGGTCCTTAACCCTAGAACCTTAGGAGCCACACTGGGTCTCAGCACACCTCCACCCGAAAACTCTGTCTCCATTGCAAAGCGATGTTACTTTACTTTGGGGATGCAAGGAAATTACTTTTGCTTAATAAGTTATATCCAGCAACCAAGAGCAAAGGGCACACACAAGGTGAAGGAAGACAGCACAAAGGTCGGCTGGCTTACCTAGTATTAAAGACGATTACACAGACCCTTGCCATTGCAGGAAGGTAAGACCCAGGGATATGAGACATTCAGAAGAGAGCAAAGTCTGCTTTCAGTGATATGACTGCTCCTAGATACTTAAGGAAATCAAATAAAAACTGTTTCAGCCAAAAGAGAATTTAATAAAATAGCCAGAAACACATCCAACATAAAATTCAGTGATTTCTATATATCAGAAACTATGTATCTACATATCCGAATAGAAAGAGATGTATTTATAAAGGAAATAAAAGCTATACCAAGAAGCAATGCCTGGGCTATGAACAAGACAAATGGAGGAAACCATCAAGCTACTGGCCTGGTCCCCAAGTCGACAGTCCTTTCACCAGTTCATGGTTTAATTCAGGGGCCTGTTCATTAAAATTCCCAAAGAATTTCTTTTAATTTTCCATTTATTTTAAGTTTATCTGATGTTAAAATTAATAAAAATTGCCTGTATATATTTTGAATAGCACCATTGATAAAAATTTCCAAATATAAAATCACTTGTTCAGCAACATGCATTTTGATGGTTTTTAGTTTATTTATAGAGTTGTGCAACTGTCATAAAAATTTAATTCTAGAACATTTTCATCATCCCCAAATGAAACCTCATACTCATTATTCAACTCATAGTGACGATTTTTGGAATAATTCCATATTTTAGAGTTCACCCCATTGAAGTACACTCCAGGGCTTCCAGGATGTTGACAAAGCTATGCACAGATCCTTGGTCTAACTCCAGAATGTTCCATCTCCTGGAGAGAAGCTGCAGGCCCCAGAAGCTCCTCCCTCTTTGTCCCTCCCCAGCCTTTATTACACTTCATAGAAGTGCATTCATACAGCATGTTGCCTTTCCTGTATTCTTTCAAAAGTAGGAAAAATGAAGGGCTTTTCCCCAGCGCTAGGGATGGAACTCAGTGCCTCACACATTTAGGTGAAGGCCGTGTCACAGAGTGACCCTCCCAGCCCAGTAGTGCAGAGTTAACCCAAATAGATAAGGCTATGACGGACAGCACACAGAGACACACGGCGTCCACCCCTTGGATGTGACAGTGACGCAGAGGAGGCCAGCAGGAAAGAACGTGCACAAGTGAGGTCTGGACAGCTACATACTGACCTGCAAGACCTGGGTGCTGAGCCCTCCCTCCTGTCATACTCACAAGTGAGCTGCTGTCAGCCAACTCTGTGTCAGTGAGGAAACTTGAGAAACAGCCATCATTGTCAGGACCAGAGAAATTTCCCAAACAAGAGTAAACTCAGGAGATGGAAGGTAAAGTGTTGATAAATCGGAAGGCACCAAAATTAAATTTCTCTAACAGACTTGATTTAAATATTCAGAAAGCCATGCTGACACAAACACAGTTAAATGAATGAGTGTATAAAAAATAAATAGGGAAGAGACAACCTTTCCTAAGAATTTCAAATAATATCTACAGATGCTTCCCTTCTCCAGAAGTGGAGCTTACCTTCCTTTCCTGAATGTATAATGCTTCTAACTACAGATAGTGGACAGGGAGAATGTCCACTGGCTGCAGCAGTGAAATCGGGCAGACATTATCCCACTGAGCAGTCCAGGTTACCGTGGTCATGAGAAGTCGGTGGAGACTCTGGGCCCGCTGGTGTGACATGAGAAGGAACTGCACTGCTGTGATGTTCTGTCCCCAGAGCCATGGCTGCCATTCAGTGACAAGAAAACAGACAAACCAAGGGCCATTCTACAAAACATATGATAAATTCCCAGTGAGACACTGCAGCAGCATGTGGAAAATTGAAGGAGACTTAGTGAAAGAACATATGGACTTGTTTGAAAAATATGGGAGATAAGAGTTTAGCAAAGATGGTTGATGGATAAGAGCAGAATACAGAGGCTCCCTGAGACAGACAACTCAGATGCTGAAATAAAACATTGTGGGGAGGCCTGGACAGAGGGAGATGGATCCTCTTGACCCAGGAAGAAACTAAAGGTGCTATTATTGGAACAGCTAAGATGCGGTGCTCTTGCTACAGTGCCCCAACTCTCGTGGCCACAACTCATTGAGATGCCCAAATTCCTGCCACTTTGACTCCCTGGAACCACAGTTGTACTGAAGTGCAGTCACACTGAAGTCGGTGAGCCCAACAGAGAATGGAGCCCGCAAGGGACCTGCATTGACCTGTGGTGAGTGCTGGGAATAAGACCCTTTCACGAGAAAAGGGCACCAATGGGATGACATTTTGGAATTGGGAAGGACTAGCAGGAACAAGGAACAGCAGTGAATTCAGTCAGTTGTTCCCTCCCAGACAAGATTGGTGGGATGTGCTTGGCCTGGGTCATGCCCCTGGCTGAAACCCAATTAGTTATCCCAAACCAATTCCCTATGCGCTAATGAAGTGAAGGTCCCCGGAGGCTGACTGACCCAGAGGGGAGGGGCCAGCATACATCGCCCCTATTTGTACCTCAATAGCACACTGGAGTGGGCAGAAATACCTAGCCAACAGCCTCAGAAGAACCATAACCAACAAGGAAAGGGACTGGGATCTCCTCTATACACCTGTATGGAAAAACAAAAAACATGGCAAAAAGAAGAAACAAGAAAAAGTCCCCAGGCCTCAGCCCTGAGAACACTGATCCAGGAGAGGTAAATACAAAAGAAACTGAGGGCAGTAAACAGGCAATATCAGACACGGCATCAGCGGACATAAAGAGATATCTCAGGACCTCATAGATGAGTTCAAAAGTGAAATATTGATTCAAGTAAAGCAAGATATAAGTAGATTAATAAAAGAAATGCTAAGCACTTCTCAAAAAGACACAGACAGAAGAATGGAGGAATATAAAAAAAGGAGAGAAATTTTCAAAGAAGAATATTAAAAAAAAAAAAAAAACATAGAATACCTGAAGCAGGTTAAAGAGATTACCAGGAAATAAAAAAAAAACTGCATTGAAAGCTGGCAAAACTGCTTGAAAGAAACTAAGGATTGACTATCAAAAC